GCTAGCCTTGAGCTGAAGAGCTGAGGGACAGCACCCAGGCCCAGAGTTCAGGCCCCACAACCGGACCCAAAAAAAAAAAAAAAAAGTTTCATGGCCTTTCCTGCCTGGGCTGGCTTTGAACAGCGATCCTCAGATCTTAGCCTCCTGAGTAGCTAGGATTACAGGCGTGAGCCACAGTACCCAGCTTCATAGTTTTAAATGTAACAAGTTAAGGCAGAGATCTCTGATGAGCAGAAAACAAATGATCAGAAAACAGCTTAAGGAAGCTAACTGACATTATATTGTTTCAAGGGGATAGTGATCCTTGCTATTATTCAAACAGTTATAAACTTCTTTGGAACGTCTTTTGTGCTTTGACATTTCCATTTATAGCTAACAAAAAAGCTTCTTTATACCTAAGGACCTAAATTTTCTACATTCTCCTCATGGTTATGGTTAGAAAAGGCTAGATCAGAGTGATAAATAGGAAAGAAGTATTTAAATATTAAAACTGCCTGCCTTTGTGTGTGGGTGTGTGTGCGCGTCCGTGTGCTCGCCACATCTTAAGCTCTCTGGTTCTTTTACTCATGGGTAGCATTCTTCAACTTTAGCCAGACCTCCAGCTCTGGTTTTTTGTTTGTTTGTTTTTGCTGTTAATTGGAGATAAGAATCTGATTTGTCTGCTTGGATTGGTCCCAAATCTCAGTCCTCAGATCTCAGCCTCCGGTTAGCTAGGAGTGCAGGTGGGAGGCACTGACACACAACTAAATTATTATTCTTGTAAAGCTTTACATGCCATTGATCTAAGGGGGAAAATAATGTTTTAGAAGCCAGGTATGCTAATAACACACCTATAATCCCTACACTTGGGAGACTAAGATAGGAGGAGCAAGAGTTTGAGGCCAATCTGGGCTACCTGGCAGAATTCTGTCTCAAAAAAGAAAAAAAAAATATATCTATTTAATGAATTAAGTTACTATGTAGTATTGCTAATACCCAAATCATAGGTATATCTAGGTTTACTCTTCTAAGTTGAAGGCCATAGGCAGTGCATGTACCTCACACAGGCTTCATGATGACAGGACTGAAAAAGCAGTGTGCAGTTAAGGAGTTTGTTACAATTTATACCAGGATACTTAATTAAACCAGTGATGGATTCAGGTCAAGTTCTAGTTTCATTTTTTCCCAATGCTTTGTTTTCTTTCTCCAGGTAAAACTGGTGGTGGAGTGGCTACTTCAGGATGAAAAAAACAGAAATTTCTTCTGCTGGAAAATCCCAATAGAGATCAAAAAATAGAGATATATGAAGGCTATATGTCTGTGTAGGGGTAAGAGGACCTGAAGGGAGGAGAAATCAGACCTGCTGAACGAGTGCCATGGGATAAAAGGAATCTTGAGACTTCTGTTTTATGTCTCTCAACTTCCAAAAGTATCTTAGACTCTTTATCGTGAGAGCTCAGAATTGTTGTTTTTATAAGGCTCTTTTAAAAGGGTAAAGGAAGAAGAAAGAATGAGACTATGGAATTGGCTTAACTGTCACCATTGTTATTTACTGTTGCATTAAGAAATATCAGATAAGGGCTGGGAATGTGTCTTAGTGGTAGAGTGCTTACCTAGCATGCATGAAGCACTGGGTTCCATTCCTCAGTACCACATAAACAGAAAAAGCCAGAAGTAGCAAGTGGCTCAAGTGGTAGAATGCTAGCGTTGAGCAAAAGAAGCTCAGGGATAGTGCCAAGGCCCTGACTTTAAGCCCCAGAACTCGCAAATAAAAATAAATAAATAAAAGAAATATAATAATATTGATAATTTGACCTAGGTCTGTTCTCTTCCAAACCACCTTTAGGGTTAGCTGGGATGTTGTTTCTGTAGGTTCTCATCTCTAAGTGCCTCACCAAGTCCAGTGCATCTGGCCAATGAGTTTGCTGACCCTTGACAGCACCTCTAGCCCCATTGCTTCAACAGTAGTGACTTGTTTACCACTGGTATCCAGAGATTCATTGCTGAGGGCAGAAATTCAGCTCCTAATGGCTGGTTCTCTGTGGATGTCTCGTGTCTCTTTTTGTTAGGTGGTTTTCATGAAAAGCAACTTGGCTAGCAGATGTTTGATTTTTTTAAACAATATTAACTTGTATCCTCTCTCTGCCCTTGGAAATGAACCTCTGAATAAATAAAAACTTGTCCGTTTTTCTTTCTGCATTTGGACTGTGGTTAACTGCTTATTTCAGATGGTATGTTCTCCTAGACTCCTGCCAGGCAGTCACCCGATCTCATGTCGCCTCAGAAGACATAATTTTCAGAAGTTCCCTTTTGCCTAGTTAGACCTTATCTATCTATTCATGCAATGTGACCTTATTTTGCTTTATTTTGTACAGTCTTATACCAACCAAGCATGCTTGAAAGAAGCAGAGAAAGTAAGCATTACACATCATGTAGTGAAAAATAGAACAGCTGAGCAGGAGACGTATCATGATCTGGGGAACTATATGCTGTCATGGCAGGAAGTCCAAGAGCTTAAAAAGGGGAAAAAAATGTGAAGTAGCAATTACTTGTTCAATGAGTTAAAACTTGAATTTTCCTACTCGTAAAATAACAAAAACTCATGGAACACATGGTTTGCTATTTCTGTTTGTCAGTCATGGGGCTTGAACCCAGGGCCTGGGCACTGTCCCTAAACTTTTGTTCAGGGCTGGCACTCCACCACTTTGAGCCACAGCTGTACTTCATTTTCTGGTGGTTAATCAGAGGTTAAGAGTCTCAAGGATATTCAAACCACAATTCTCAGATCTCGGCCTCCTGAGTAGCTTAGGATTACAGGTGTAAGCCACCATTGCCAGCCTGATTTGTTGTTTTGATAGGACTGTCAGTCAGCTTCTAGGTGGCCCAGAAGTTATATAAATGAGTTGAGAAGGTTGAGGGCAAAAGAAGGGATTTATTCTGTATATGAACAAATAATTTAGCCCATTTCTCATGCCAGTAATTTTATCTGATGCATGGTTTTTTTCTTTTTGTTGTTTTGTTTTGTCTTAGTATTTTGTGAATAGAGTGTTAACTTGGAGCCTAGAACTCACTACAATGAGCCTACTTTAAACCTGTCATCCCCCTGCCTCTTTCCTGGGACTACAGGTATTCTACCAGGCCCTTTCTTTAGCCTGTGGATTTCTTTAGCCTGTGAAATTTGCAGGAAACCACCAGAGGACAGCAATGGGTTAGGAATGAGGTTACCAACAAGCAAGCTCTGCTAGTTAGTGCTGGCAGCCACCCTACCACTGTACTATTTAGCTAAGATCTTTTATATATCCTGTCGCATTTAACCCACTCTGTGTCCCCATGAACACCCTCAATGTATCAGAATTATGTAAATTTCATACTGCCAAGGACTCTGACTTCAAGTTGCCTGGGGTTGAATCCTAGCTGTGCCTCATCTCTTGCTTCAGTTTCCTTATCTGGTAAATAGGGACACTGATAGGAGGGCTGTGGCTATTAAATGAAATGAGGCATGTAAAGTCTTAGATGACCCATGGCATGTAGCACACACTGCTGATGTTAGCTATTGTTCTAGGACACACTGTTCTTTGTCTAGAAATAGCAGGGAAATCAGGAGGCTCAATCTGATGTGTGGTTTTGGTTTCTTCAGAAAAAACAAGGTTAGCATCTATGTATAGGAACTTTCTGTTCTCATATGTGTTTGCTGGCTTCCTATTCCCAGAGGGTTCGTAGACTTTTTTTAGCTCATTTGATAGGCAACTGCTACTATGCCTTTCCCCTTTGCCCTCTTGTGTTAGAAGAAAAAGAAAAGCAGCTTAGCTAGTATATAGTCTTCCTTTAGAACCTAAGGGGAGCCCAGCAGCTTGAGGCTGTTTACCAATCTGCTTCAGAAGCTCTGGAGCCTGCACCTATGAAGGCCTCTGTGAGGGGATTAGTTTGAAAGGTCATCTTCTACAGAAAGTTCACAGCCATTACCACTATGAAGCACCTAATCCTTGGTATACAAAGAGGGCCATCCTTTTTCCAAATCATCTTGGGCTTTTCTATTCCTCTGAGCATGTCTTAGAGGCTTAGACTCAATTCTTCACTTACATGAACCCAAGGTAGCTAAGTCTCAGATTTGGGGGGGGGGGGTTGTTTTGTTTTAATATAATTTTACTGTTATTTAAGGTATTGTACAGAGGAGTTTCCATTTCATAAGTCAAGTAATGAATACACTTCTTCTTTTTGGACTATGTCACTCCCTTTGCTTTGTCCCCAGTTTCCTCCTCTCATCCCTGCCCACAAGTTGCAACAGTTCATTTTCCACATAGTGTTTACTGAGTATCATACCTGCATTTTGGGGCGGGAGGGAGAGAAAAACCAACAAGCATGGAGTGATTGCAAGACCATGTGTAGCTTTGAAACCTCTTGTTGGTTTATTTATTTTAAGAAACAATGATCTTGATTATGCTTTGCAAGGGCTTATAAAACAGACTGTTTCTGAGAATAGCTCCAGGCATAGAAAAAATGTCTTGAAATGGGCAAGTCCATTCTTTTATACAACATTGTTTATCTGCATAAAGAATCAACTGAGAGCCTGCCCTTGAGACTCTGGCCTATAATCCTACCTACTTGAGAGGCTGAGGTCTGAGGACCATCATTTGAAGCCTGGGCAGAAAAGTCTTTGAGACTCATCTCTAATCAACTGGCAAAAAAAAAAGTGGAGGTGTGGCTCAAGTGGTAGAGTGCCAGTCTTGAGTGAAAAGGCTCAAAAACAGTACCCAGACCCTGATTTTTAGCCCCAGTACTGGCAGAAAGAAAGAAAGGAAGGAAGGAGAAAGAAAGAGAAAGAATTGATTGTAAGACTGTAAATGGAATGGGCTTATGTACCTTTTGCTGTTAGTGTTTGAGTTATAGTTTTGGTACATCTTAATGTAAGTGGCTTTTTGACTTTGGAATTTTACATTTGAAGTGTACTGTCATCTATTTCTTGATTTTGAGTGTGTGCGTGTGCGTGTGCGTGTGTGTGTGTGTGTGTGTGTGTGTGTGTGTGTGTGTCCCAGTCCTGAGCTTTATGTCAGGGTCTGTGCCCTGTCACTGAGTGTATTGCTCAAGGAAATAGTACTGTACTACTTGAGTCACAGCCCCACTTCCAACTTTTTGGTGGTTAATTGGAGGTAAGAGACTCACATGGGGCTGGGAAGGTGGCTCAGTGGTAGAGTGCTTGCCTCGCATGCATGAGGCCCTGGGTTCGATTCCTTAGGACCACATAAACAGAAAAGGCCAGAAGTGGCACCATGGCTCAAGTGGTAGAGCGCTAACCTTGAGCTGAAGAGCTCAGGGACAGTGCCCCGGCCTAGAATTCAAGCCCCACAACAGACAAAAAAAAAAAAAGAGAAACTCACAGACTTACCTGCCAGGGTTGGGTTTTAACTGTGATCCTCAGATCTCAGCTTCCTATATAGCTAGGGTTACAGGAGTGAGGCACTGGAACTTGACTATTTCTTGAACATTTTCATTGGGTAGCTGCTCTAGACAACAAAATAAATTCAGGAAGCCTAAATCTATATTTGTAATTTTTTTTTTTTTGGTCAGTTGTAGGACTTGAACTCTGGGCCTGGGCGCTGTCCCTCAGCTCTTCACTCAAGGCTAGTGCTCTACCACTGGAGCCACAGCGCCACTTCTGGTTTTCTGAGTGGTTTATTGGAGATAAGAGTCTCATGGACTTTCCTACCCAGTCTGGCTTTGAACCATGATCCACAAATCTCAGCCTCCTAAGTAGCTAGGATTACAGGCATGAGCCACCAGTGCCTGGCTTATTGTTGTAAAATTCTTTTACTACCCCCTAGTTAACTATTTATTTTTATCATTTAAAAATACTGTCATTGTACCATATAGTTTTTTCATGTACTAGATGATTAGGATTCTAGAGATCTGATTACCAAAATATTTCCAATACAAAAACTATATAAAGAAATAGGTGTGGTCAGTGAAGAGATCTTGATTAGCACTCACTTAGGATAGTCCAAAAGGCAAATAATGCTTCAGTAAAGAGTTGATGAGAGGAGCATCAGCACCGAGAAGAGCTGTGTGTGAGAGCGGTCTGAGGTGAAAGTCAAACAAGATTTTTCCTAAAAATCTGTGGTCTGGAGATAGCAACTGGAATATAAAGTCTAGGGTGTGTTTTGCTTAAAGGCCTGGGATACTTGGTTGAGCTGCTTGCCTAAGTGTGTTGGGAATGGGGTGAAAGGACAGCATTGTATAACTAGGTAGAAAGTAGCTCGGACCGTACACAGATGTTGACTGAGTCATTTTGGATGGTTGTACCTTTTTCTCTGGAGAGGATTCCTAGACCTATCCTTCAGCTTGTAAACTGAATCTGCTTTCCTTACAGCTGTCAGTTGACTAGCAACGAAATGGTCTGGGTGTTGGTTGCCATGGAAACAGCTAAAAGGCCCATTGCTATGGGAACCTACCCTGTTCTCCAGACCAGAGGTTTAGTTGCTAGAAAGAAATAGGTGTGGGAGGGGGAGCGGGGAGCGGGAAGAGCCCAGGAGC